AGCCCAAGTTCTATCCAAGTTAAGTAAAGATTAGCAAATTGCAATGCACATTAAAGGACATGCCATGCAAGATTACTGGTGGGACAAGCTAGGTAGAACAAACAAATATAATTAAGAATATTCACTCAAATTTATTTATTGCAATGAAATTCAGTAAGAAAGATGTCATGAATTTGCATAACTACTTTGAGTTGTGCTAGCCACAAAGCAATCCAGTCTTCTTTCTTGATAAACTGCATCATGCTACGGTTGCTAACATTGTGCAAATTTATTGTTTTCATTGGTGCTCTAGCACCAAAGCATTCCATGAAAAATGCAAGATATCAGTGAACTTAATTTGAGGTTGGCATGTGTGAACTTGTTCAGGAAAATGAGCTGCACATAGTTGGAGTGGATCCAGAGGGGACTGCAGTGGCTTGGTGATATCCTCCTTTCCACAGTGTAGCTTAGTGGCTCTGGCTCCTCTGCAGAGTCCAGACCACACTGCAGAAGCAACAGCCAAGGACTTCAGTCCCTGAAGCAGGTACAGACCACCCCCAAAACCTCCTTCCCCCGCAGCTGCACTTCCCCTCCTTCTGCCTATTTATGCTTCTGGATGCAGAAGAGGCGGCCCACTCACCATTGCTGCTGTGCTCAGCTGTGTCAAGGGTGGAAAAGCCCCAGAGCCACTACTGCCTTGCTCCAGCTGAGGCTGTGGGGAGAGGCTGCATGGGAAACTGAGTTCAGCTGGGGACAGTAGCAGCAGGCAGGTTCCCCCTTCCTGCCCATCCTTCTTAAGTGTTTCCCACCAGCCTAGGAGCAGGTGCAGGAAGGGGAAGCTGTCTGCTACCACTGCTGTCCCTATCCTAGCCGAGTTCCTTGCACAGCTGCTCTCCAGTTGGGACAGCAGTGGCAGGTGGGTCTCTCCTTCCTGTGGCCAGAGGCATAGAGAAGGGGAGGAGAGGTACCACTGAGCATGAAGGGGAAGGGAGTGCGCCATGAGCAGCAGGGTGGTGGATTCTTACCTGATTCAGAGACTTCAGAAAGTCCTATAGCGAGGTCTGCCCACCCAGGTGGTGGTACAAAGGGGCTGGTGCAGAGGGAGTGCAAACATCCCTCAAGTGCTAGTTGCTGCTACCATATCCCCCTTTTCAAAATCCTAGATCTGTCTATACACATAGCTTGAACTGTGCGAGTTCACAGGGAGGTATCCTGTCATCAGGAAAGGCAGGATTCATGTTTCATCTGAGAAAGTAAGGAACCATGGGTCATGTTCATCTTACACATCCTGTAGAATCCCAGACAGATGAAGCTATCTTGGAGTTCTAAAAATCTCAGCATTAAACAACTCCTGGAAAGCTCACTTTACTAGATACAATGTCTGGAGCACCAATAAGTAACTCATTTTTGTAATTAGGTGACCAGCTAAAATCAATGCGAATTATTGATGTAAGCAGAAGCTGGGCTGGGGCAAGTACCACAGGTCTTGGATCTTTCTAGAACATGTGGGAAAAAGTAAGATATGCTCAAGTAAAATTCTGCACTCAAAATACAGCACATTTATTAGCATATCACATGCCCCATGTCATACACTTTTTTCTGGGAAGGCAGAATGAAGGGGGGGAAGGATTTTTCCAGTTTTTTTTGTCACACACTGGTGTCAGCATTACTACCACTTCTCCCTACTGAGGTCAGCCAACAACTGCCAACTTGGCAGCAGCTGTGAGAGGGTTAAATCTGTAGCTGTTGTCCCTACAGCAGGGGGAAGGGAAGAGAAGGAAAGGGGAAGTGATGCTGACAAGGAGACTCTGCTCCATGTGGCTAAAGCATTCAGCCCTGGCTGAGCTGATGCTGAGTACAACCCCGTGCTGCCACTCCAGCATCCTTTTGCCTTTATTTCAGTGCGAGAATCAGTTTTGTTGCTTAAAAGATGCTCCCCAACTACGGGTGGCTAGTTTGCAGGGAAATGGTGCAGGTGACATGTGAATAAATACAGTAGCATGTGTTGACTTAGCAGTTATGTCCATTATCTAAGTAATCCTGTGAACTGGCTTAAAATTGATACTGTTGGAAACTAATTAATGAAAAAAATGTATTTCTTTATCCCATAAATCCATTGCTTACAATCTTCATTTACCCAAATTTAAACCAGAGATTTTTTTAATGCCACAACCACCAGCAGAAATTTAGAAGGAGCTAAGTTGAAGGGAAAAAGATAAATTAGCAGCACAATGAAAAAGCAAGTTAGTTTTATAGTAAGCCCAAGACTTTTAAAATAAAGTTAAAAAGACTTTAAAACAGATGAATATTTTATAAGCTCCTAAACACAGTGCATGTCTTAAACCTTAAAGTGAAAGCATATTACAGAAATACCATACTAAATCACCAACGCATGCAATCAAAAGTGTCAAAGCATAGTTTAGCTAGCATAAAAGAGGGCAAGTTCTGTTTTGTGCTCTCTCCTCAAACCCACCGTCTCCACCAGCCAGAGACTAACGGATTTTTTAAAGATTAAGTAAATGGATAATTTGTGATTATAAATCAACCACTTCCAAGATCTACATACAAACAAGTGGTATTCTCCCAAAAGAGAAAACTTCAACTCTTTAGCTCAGTTTCTCCAAACATAAGAGCTGCCCATTAGAAATGTTTAGTTTTGTTAAAAAATATGATAAATACAATCATAATTCTACTAGACACCTAGACATTTTTGTAAACTGACCATCACAAATAAGGTCTCCTCTAATTCTAGTTTCAACAATGGGTATTAAAGAAAGAGCTAACTGCTTTAAAGAATTAAATATAGCTGTGTGTATATATATAGATAGATATATATGTAAAGAAGTATGGATGTGAAAAAATATCAGTTAATGATAGGCAGAACAAACATTGCGTTATCATTTATGGTTTTAAAATAAAAAAATGTTAATAACAGGCACAGAGATGAAGAGACATTTAAAAAAGCATACATATTTAGAAAAATAAATAAAAATTACCACAGAACTGAGGTCACTCTAATGGGAAAATAAAAAAGAACACATTAGAGAAATTAGGGTTAAATGTTAAAGAAAAAGGAGGATAACTTTCAAACAAAATGCACTTTTGCATTTTTTTGCACTTTCCAAATGAGACAGCATTAGTAAGAGAGGAATGTAAATAAAAAGACACGTGACAACTATATTTCTAATAAAGTATAACCAATATTGTCAAACTGCTTACTAGTATTGTTTTTTATTATGCTTCAATTTTTTTATGCCTGCTTGATGTTCAATAAAGACTCAAGTGAGTAAGCTACAGATCAGGTATGGAGGGAAAAGTAAAAGAATTAAGATGCAACTAGTTCTTGAACGGGACCCAAATCTACTTAAGATATAAATCAGTACAGAGAGTTCTGTTTGAGATGGCTGATGGTCTTACTAGAAGAATGAAGACCTGTTCATCTGGTAAAAGCCTAGGACAAAAATTCACTGCCTGCCATCAGCTGACTGCAAAACAGGCCACAATGTTTCCAGGAAAAGCCTCTTACCAGAAGAGGCACTTTGAAAAAGATCAGTTGTAATTACATACTTTTCTCTTAGGGGCCAACCATGTAACTAGTTATGCCAGAGTGTGATAGTGGTATTTTCCTTGATCAGGACTTTATAAGGCTCTCAATGAAAGCCTTTCTATTGACATCATTGGGTGTGGGTTCAGACCCTAAAATTTCAAGCCTGACAGGCAGGGACTAGGCCTCCTATGTTTTTAAGTAGCCCTGTGCCAATCTTGGTGGCTGTCCTAATTTGGGACCTTCACGTGCTATTACAATACAAGCATCAACAAGAGTTGATTTTTTACTACTACATTTACATTTAGAAAATATTTTGTATCTTTATACTGAAGAGTTGCAATCCATTTTCTTAGTGAGACCTTGGAAGTAGAGGCCATCCCACTGCAGTAATCTTAGCAACAGATGAGCAGGCTAGTCACCCTTTACACGATTTATTTACTTGAAGTTATATACATACAAGATACCTTATTTGTAGCTTTCTCTTCCCCAGAATTATTTCCTTTCATAACATTGACAATTTCATTCTTGTGATAATACTGACAATATAATATCACACAACTTCTAACCAAAGAATAGACTATTTAGTCACATTTTTTCTTTCTGAAATAATTCAAAATTAAATCAGCAACATGATCAGATACTAAAGATAATACCAGCTGTATATGTTCCCAGACAAAAAGAAGATGATGCAATTAAAACAGCTTTGCAAACATTCACCAGCTCAAATAGTACACCCTCTGGACTACCCTTTGCTACAACCGATGGATGGATAAGATGTATAATAGTGGACTGGATAGGAGAGGAACCCTTTAATATTTTCCTCCTCCTTTAGGCAAGTGGGTGATACAGAACTATTAGTTTTGTAAAATTATCCATGGTAGTTTGAGGGGCTTTTGCTGGTAGCTGTGTTGGTCTACGAACATAGGCAGGCAAGGTTCTTTGAACAGATGTGGTATCTTTTTTCCAACTGAGTAGAAAAAAGTTCTTAGCAAGCTTTCAGGTGCAGTCACCCTTCTGCAGGCAAAGGGAGTCTCTGCTGGTCTGAGACTCCAAGAAATGAGAGAAGCTAAAGTACTCTCTATGCCTGAAAAAGGGTGACTGCATCCGAAAGCTTGGTAAGAACTTTCTTCCAACTACTTAGTTGGTCTAACAAAAGATATCACATCTACTCAAAGAACCTTGCCTGCCATGGTAATTTGATATTTTTCATGACAAACCTATGCCCTCTGTGGCTTATAAATACCTCATAGAATTAATTGTTCCCATCTAAAATTGTCCCGAGGGTTTAAAATTTAAGACTTCTTTGCTTTCTAGCAATTCACAAAACATTAACTTGCTCTTTAAAAAAGTTTCTGCTAAAAAAGAGTCAGGTTTCCATTCTTAATGACATTTCACAGAGTTGAGAGGATATTTCACAGAGGTAAGGGGATGATAATACTTTTGCCTTCAGAGATCCACAGTCTCATTATCTTTCCAGATGGAACAACTACTGAAGCAATATTATAATCCATGGTAGAAAAGGGAAGCATTTATTTTGTCCCCTATAAAGGTGCCCATTAAATTCCATTTTACTAGTGGCACTAATATTTTACCTTGCTATAGTATACGTTTAAGTACTCCTGTTACTGGAAATTGGCAGACAATGCCAGTTTTACTAAACAATTAATTCCACTCCCTCATGTTTTAATATGATAGATTGCACTGCTTGAAAGGTTAAAAGGACTGACGTTTGCAAGATTAGATAAAACTTAAGTCAGATGATATTTGAGGAAAGCATTTAACTTTTGTTGGTCCATCACATTCAACTTCCTCATACTACTTCCTGTAGTTTATTCCTAGTAACAACCTAGCAGTTAATGCATTGAATTCATTTGGAATGGAGGGAAAATGTTCATAAAGACTTTCTGTATGACATCAGGCATGACACTCTTTACGTCTCATGTTCCCATCTGCAAAGGAGGAATAACCCTGCCCTTCTCTCGCCCTTTATCTGACTTGTTTATTTAAATCTATCAACTCTTTAAGGCAAGGACTATTTTGTATTCTACGTACAATGCCTTATACAGCCCTGCTTGTGCATGAGCCTCTGAGGTGCCATTAATGCATGCAAGTAATTAGAATAAGTGGAAATGTTCTGGAAATAATTCAGTTCTCTAAGGACAACTTTATTCACAGAACAACACATGAATATTTAGGAATGCATGTGTTAATCCATGCAGGGAAACTATTGACTATTTTCATTCCCTTTCTTCCCACACATTAGATCTTATTCCTCCCATCTTCCACCCTATGCTGAAGTTTTGAGGTAAGTAAAATACTTTCAATTTTATTATTTTGCAGTTTCTTTCAATGACCCCTATCCAACTAGAGGAGCACATTAGTTGGATGTTTCCAGTCAAATTACATTTCAAAGTTACTCATTTAAAATGCCCAACTTGCAACTGAAAATAATGAATTACTTTTACAAGCATCAATCAATTTGTACAGCACTTCTGTGGATAGTATTAAGTATCAGAGTACGATCAAATAACAGACTGGGAAAATGAAGCACAGAAAATTAAATGACTTGCCTAACATCTCACAGCATGTAAATAGTACAGCTTAGAAGAGAACCCAAATTTCCTCATTCCATATAATTGGAAGGGGCTTTCAGGGTCATCTGGTCCAACCCTTTGCACGAAGTTACTCCTAAATCATTCCCAACCAATGTTTATCCAGCTTCCTCTTGAAAATCCCCAGTAGAAGAAACCAAACAGCATTGTAATCATGTAAGATCAGCTGTTGAAAATCCCCAGTAGATATAATATCCAATTATATGAATTTATATGATCATAGGAAAGTAGGGCTGGAAGGGACCTCATGAGGTTATGCAGTCTAGCCACCTACTCAAGGCAGGATCATCCCTGACAACCATCACAGTTGTTTCTCTAACCTGCTCTTGAACATTTTCAGGGATGGAGGGTCCACAACTTCTCTAGGTAGCTTGTTTGAGTGCTTAACCACCCTCATAATCATAACTGCCTTCCATCTTTGAAGTGGCTTTTATGTAAACATAATATTAATGACAAACATAAGAAATCAAATTACTTAATAAAGGAGCTACGTTCTCGCTAAACCAAAACCAAATGTTTTGGAAGCGTGGCAAATAAGTACTTAAAAATTGACTGCAATTAACCTTCTTCTGGACAATTTAACAGTGGTCTCCCAATCACATTCAGAATATTTACTACAAAAAAGAAATCTAAGAAATGACTCTAGCAATTAAAATTCAAAAGAAAGCAGCAGAAAAAATTTCAGTTAGATGGAATAAAACCTAAAGATGTCAGCCTTCAAATCCAGTTTCTCCCCTCCCTAGTATGAACTAGACTTCTGATATCTAGTTTTATTTGAAAAGCAAAGCAAATAAATAATATTTTCATAAATTAAGCAGCTTAATATACCTAGAATCTCTCATTCTTAGCATACTATATTTTTAGTGGGGGGGTTTCCTATTCAGCTTAAATACTACTTACTGTATGTTAAAATTTAACAAGTTTAGTACTTACCTCAGCATTGTAGAACTTTGTTTTCACATCTAATGGTTTGAGAACCTGAGGGAGAAAATACAGATTGGAGAGTTTTCTCAAACTTCTCTGCAATTAAAAAATACTGATTTAAACTATTATTTATAGGTTCTTAAAATACTCAGTGATCCATCTTTTAAGCATTCTTTTGATATAGCAGGAAACATGTGTTAGCCAAATAAATGATAGGTTTCAGCTTATTTCTTTATTCTTGTTTATTGGCTGTATAGCTCATTGCTTTACTAAACACCAGAATGATTCTGACACGCTGTATGACAAATAATTTTCCACATCAGACCAGTTCTTACATTGGGAATAAAAGCTGTTGATCAGCTTTTTTAAAAGTAATGATTCATTCTTCCACAACCCACAAATACTTTCTAGTTTGTTTGAAAGAAAACAAATGCATAAATATTTGCATCAAAACTCTCCAGTGTTTTGCAACAAATAAAACTCACCCCGAGACTCGGAACACTTTGAAAACAGTTATAAGTCAGTGAAATATCAGCTGTATGTTATTAGCTAAAAATCAAGCAATTACTAGCCTGGATTTCTTTGGAAGCATAACTGTTACTTCTCAAGGGATGATTATTAGAAGAAACCAAACAGCATTTTAATCATGTAAGATCAGCTGTTGAATACAGCATCAAAAAATGTATCTTGGGAAAAGTGATACAAAATGCCAGTGTTAAAATAAGTTGTATATGAATTTTTATATGAAGTACATAGTTTGTGCATGCAAGTTATACTTCTCCCTAAACCAAAAAAAGTTAATCCCCTCAGTTCTTGAATTTCTGTTCTCCAGTTGTGGTCCAGTTGAAAGAAAAAGTACTACCATATATACTTGAATATAAGATGAGGTGTGTTCTCCCCCACCGTCAGCATGGGGAAAAAATAGGGGCACACCAATACTGATTTTTTGGGCCAATACTGATGGCCAATTGTTAACCAGCCATATCCAATTGCTGATATGCAGTAGGGGTGTGCGAAACAGGCCCTATTCGATTTGGATTCGGCCTAAGTTGGGGACAGTGATTCAATTTGTTGATTCAAATCACTGTCCCCTATTCAATTCAGCCTAATCCAAATCTGAAGATTCGATGCTGATTCAGAGAATCTGCGATTCGGACATAGACGCAGCTTTAAATGTTTTTTCTACATACCCTGAGGTACCTGGCCTGACTTGTGAATGCTGCAATGCTGGGGCAGATGGAGCGTACCACGGATGGAGCGGCCTTCCTGTGTGCTCAGCAGTGAATTCAGAAGTATTTCCAGTCCACTTCCGGGTCCGCTGGGGAGCATGCAGGGGGCCCCTCCCATACCCCCTGTCTCTGTGATCAGCCACAGGGGGACCCCAAGTGCCCCCCCAGACCCAGGAGGCACCAGTTGCTGAGACAGAGGTGGGGGGGGAGGGGAGGCCTCTCGCACTTTCTCCAACATACCCAGAAGTGGACCAGAAGTGCTTCTGGCCCACTTCAGGATCTGCTGCCAAGCACATTGGGGAGCCCCCCATGCTTCTGTGGGACACTCCATGCACCCCAGAATCTCAGCATTCACGAGCCGCCTGGTACTTAGAAGTATGTAGAAAAAATATTTAAAGCCATGTTTATGTCCAATTGCCGAATCTTTCTGAATCTCTCCGAATTGATTCGGAGGGTTCTGAATTGATTCACAGAGATTAAAGGGTCCTTTGCTTTGATTTGGATTCAGAGAGTTGGCCACCAAATGGGGTCAAATCTTCACCAAATCAAATCGGAGACTGAAGCTTTGCACAACCCTAATATGCAGCCCTGCAGCTTGATGAACAGCGTCTGGCTGGTAAGTTGGGGGGGGGGGGCATGGGGGTGCTGATCAAGGCCCCCACAGTGAGGGAGGGAGTGAGGCTGGGGCAGGGGCTGCCCAGCCGGGGCAAAGAAGAGCCATGGGCAGCTCATCTGTGGGGCGCGGGTGGCTCTCATTGCTGCACGCACCCCCCGGGGAAGCATGGGGTGTATGTCCCCCTTGGATTTGTGCACAAGGCAAGGGCAGGCTGCATCAACCTCTTCCCAGTGGGAAGGCTGGGCTGGGGCTGTGCTTGGGGCAGGCAGTGGCGGCACTGGGAAAGGGAGGCCACAGTGGGGGCTGCAGCCACCCTAAAATTCACAATAGCCCCCCCTGGAGCCCCTCTCCCAGTGCTGCTGCCACCTGCCCTGCCCCCGCCTGTCCTAAACACAGGCCAGGCCCACCCCCCTTCCAGGAAGAGGCTAGCACAGCCCCCAGCTCTGCACCTGTAGAATGCATCCCACCCTCATCCCCTGGGGGTGTATGCAGTGACAGGAGCTACTCCCCTCCCTGGCCCTTGCAGCCCCCAGACAAGCAGCCCATGGCTCTGCCCCATGCTGCATCTTGTTCTAGCTGGGCAGCACCTGCCCCTGTCCCAGTCCCACCCTCACCATGGGGGCTTTGAACTGCACCCCCATGCCTCTTCCCTCCCCCATGCCCCTTCCCCACCATAGACTTATTGGCCAGACACTGCTCTCCAAGCTGCGGAGATGCATTCCTGGCCACGTGCGATCTGCAGCTGCATACATGCACATGGCATTTATTGGTGACATTATTGTTCACATCACCCCCAAAAAGCCAATTGCTGATCATTTCAATGTTCCTTTTATCCGTGCAGATATGATATGGACCAATATATCGGTGCACCTCTAGGAAAAAAATAGTTCCTCACCTTACATTCACATATAAGGAAACCTCATTAAATACATAGTCTATCATTAAAACTGCTACCACAAGCAGCATATGATCAGTAACAGATGCCAACTATGAAGCTGATTAAAGGCAGCCAAAACTGAGCATGGCCCATATTGGGCAAACATACTGAAGGGAAACTTTTTATAAAGGACAAAAAGGGCAGGTGTTCCCTCCACAGGGAATTGGTACCAAGTCTGGAGGTACTACAATACCAGGCTGGCACCAGGAGGGCCAAAGCCAGCCATGACATCCTCCCTTGATGCCAAAAATAATTTATCTTAGCCAAAAGGCTGAGATGCTGATAGGAACTTACCACAAAGATAGGTTAGTACAGCTCATCTGAATAAGATATATGATACTGCCCATTGCACTCTGTCCCCCTCAGCACTGACTCTTTAAGTCATGGTGAGCCACTACAATGAATACATTTCGACTTCCTTTTCACTCCCTGTAACTTTCATTTTTATTTCCAATAATTCCTGTTTCTTCACCAGCCTTAAATGTCTGGCAAACATGACCAAACAGGGCCCCAAACAGTTCAGCCAGAATCTCTGTCACCCCCTTTCTCAGCCTGTTGCTTATTTTTAGTGTGGCCTGGCCCTCCATGAGGTAGAACCAGACCACAGTGCCCTGCACTTCATCTGCATATACATTTTGGCAGGATCCCAGGATTCATGATGAGAACACCTGGTTCTAGTAATGAGTGGCAAATTAGCACATGGATCCTTTGAAGGGGGTTTCTGGAGTACACACACATACTAAGTAGTGCTGAGCTGTGGGGTCACCATGGCTGGAATGCTGTTGACTCTGCTGGGTCCCAGTCCAATGAATTATATGGTAAATTATGAGCCTTTTGGCTTTGAACTACTATCATGCATCACCCGTACTATATATAAATAAGTACAAATGTGCTGCTTAATGTGGTGTCTATAGAGTACCTGCACTAAAACTTGTACAAGTTTCCAAAAAAAAAGGAACTTCATCAATTCTGGAAGAACCAAATTATTACAGGCGCATTCATTTCAAAATCAGTGTTTTTAAATTCGCCCCTCACTTCCATGGGCCCAGGGACAGCAGGTTCTGACAATAAAGGGATGGAAGGAAGGGGCTGGTAGAAGGCAAGGGGGCTACCTGACTCCCCTCCCCGAATTATCTTCTTTTCTACAGCAGTGGAAGGAGGATAAATTTAAGGCAAACCTCCAATAATTATATTCTATACCCGGAAAATTATAACAAATTTATAAAATTTCCATATATAGAATCTGTTATTGGGTTGTCTTATATTCAGGATCATCTTGTATTCAAATAAATATGGTACTTTTAAGCCGTTTACAGCATTTTTTTTTTTTAATATAAAATGTATGGCCAAATGAAATAACATGCTTTTTAATGATGCACCAATAAAGATTTTTTGGGCCGATACCGATGACTGATTATTGACCATATTTATTGGTCATATTGGCCAGTACCAATTCAATTGCTGATATGCAGCCAGGCAGCATGGAAATCTGCATCCAGCTGGTAAGTCTCTGGGGGGGGGGAGGG